ATGGCAGGGGGCCCCTGAGGCGGGCCGGACCCTCCCTGGGAGAGAAGCGCTGGTGCTCAGTTCTAAGAGAGCCAGTCTGCAGAGACCCCAGGATCGCTCACCCCTTTCCTTCAGGAGACTCCCTCACCCACCTTTGCCTTAATTGCCTCCTTCCGCTGGGCATCCACTTCATCTGTAGAAAGTGGGGGCTTACATGAGGCGTCTGCCCTGCCCCCATACCAAATCCTCCGGAATCCTCAAAAGGACCAAGGGCCACATTTACCCTCTGCTTTGTCTCCCACAAAATTCTGGGTGGGAGCTGCTTCTGGAATCCATCCACCGCAGCTGAGGCTGCCCCACCCCTGCTACACCCCGGGGCTCCGGGCACTCACAGTGCAGGGCAGGCACAAAGAAGTCCAGCGCTTGGCAGTAGAGAGATAGAGCGGCCGCAGCATCCCCGTCCTGGTCCTTCTTCACAGCCTGCACCACCAGGGCGGTCTGGGGGACAGGCGGGTCGGGGGTCAGCCCCACACCCCATGCTCATCACGAACACAGAAAGGCAGGTCCCCGGCGCACCACCGAATGGGGTCGATGAGCCCCCCACCCGCCCCCTCCCCATGCCCTCCCGCTGGCCTGCTTACTGCTCGGGCCAGGCTCTCCCCACTGGGCATGTGCTCCAGGTCCACCCAGGGGTGGGCGAAGAAGTCCTCGAAGGAGATGCGACGGCTGGGGTCCCGCTCCAGGAGCCGCTGCAGCAGGTCCCTGCAGTCTCGGGAGAGCGGGGGCCGCAGGGGGAGCTGTGGGGGGGGGTGGGAGACAGATCACACGGGGCCCCAGCACCTCAGTCCCCAGCCCAGAGGCCAGTCAGGACCACCTGGTCTGGGGACGCCCCAGAGGGACACGTGTGCAGATGGAGAATCGGAGCCTCGGGAAGAACAGTGACAGGACAAGGCGCTGGAGCCAGTGGAGAGCCGCGCCCTCACTGGAAGCTTTGCTGTTGGGAGCCCTGCGTGCAGGTGCTTCTCCCCTCCCTGGGTCACTCCTGGGAAGGCTGGGCCTGGCCTGCTTGCTTTGCTCCCACAGGGGGGCCACACACAATCAGTGGGGCAGGCCCTTTGCTCCCTGCCATGAGCGACCTGGGTTCCCATACCCCGGGCTGTGCGGGTGCAGTGAGGGCTCAGAACTCAGGGCCCTGACCCCCTCTCCCAACAGGCTGCCAAGCACCCTTCAAGACCCACCTCGATAACCCGGTTGCTCCGGATCTTCTCCTCCAGCTCTGTGAATGACCTGGAGGCAAAGGGGGGCTGCCCGAAGAGGGCTTCTGTGGAAGGGAGGCAGAGGGCAGGCTGGGAGGGGATAGGGTCAAGCCTGGCCTGGCCCACTCCTTGGGGTGGGGGCAGGGGGGCTGACACCTCTCAGGGCAGGGTCCCCGGGCCCGCAGAGTCACATTCGTTAGAACCCTTCAGGAGTGGCCCAGAGAGGCCTTGCCTGAGGACACAGGGCGGAGGTCCCTGGGTTGGGGCTGGGGACAGAGCTCTCACCGTACAGGATGACCCCCACGGACCAGAGGTCCACACGGGCGTCGTACTGCCGCTGACACACCATCTCGGGGGCCATGTAGAGCGGGGAGCCACGGAGCACATGCTTCTCGTCCCAGGGAGACATGTGCTGCGCGAAACCGAAGTCTGCGGGCAAGAGGCCAGGCAGCAGGGCCCCAATTCTAGCTGCTGTGGCTCCTGCCCTTTAAAGCTTCACTCTGGGCTCCAGTTCAGGGCTCCTCCCCACCCGCCAGGCTCACCAGGATCAATCCTACTCTGCAGCCTCTGCTCACACCCTTTCTCTCCAAATTAGCCTAGAACCCCCTCCTACATCTTCCTCTGGGAGCCAGCCCCCTCAGGCATCTTTTTCCAGGAAGCCCACCCTGATCGCACCAGCTACGAGGATAAGGGCCCACCAGGGATTAGGAGCTGAGGTTTTACCTTGCTTTCTGGCCTCCCAGCCTCAAGTCCATTCTTGGCCACAGCCACCTCCTCCCCCCCTCATCCTCCAACACTGCCACAGACCCAGTCGCAGGTTGAGCCCCAATCCTGGTGACGGACCAATTCCCAACCCTGCTCACACACTGAACCCTTCCCATGGTCACACACAGAGTCCTGACCCTGACTGTAGACTGAGCCCTGACCCCATCCAGTCCACTGCTGGAGTCAAGTGTGGGGAGCCCAAAAAACGTCCTGCCTTTTGGTGGTGGGGCCTGTCCTTGCATCTCCCAGCCCGTCACTGCTTGGTGACTCAACAGAGGGTGCCATGAGAACCAGGGCTGCTGAACGAGCCTGGGCAGTGGGAGGCCTCGGCACACCCACCCTCCAAACCTCATCCCTGCTGTTCCAGACTCACACCTGCCAGTTTAAGGTGGGGCTTCTCCAAGGAGCTCAGCAGAATGTTCTGTGGCTTCAGATCCAGGTGAGAGATACTCCGTTCATGCAGGAACTGCAGGGCACTAGCTGGGGAGTAAGAAGACCCACACGGAGAAACAGGTCAGAGGAGCCCATCCTTCACCTGCCCCTCGCCCCCTCCAGCCTTACATCTGCCCCTTCGAGCTTGTCCAACCTGACTTCTGCGCTGGCTGCTCTACTGAATGTCTTAATACTTAAGTATCAGGTTCCCGCCACTTCTAAGAATTTGACCCCTACCCCCCTGGACCCATTCACAAGTCCCCTCCCCCTCCCAGAAGCCTCCCTAGCCCCCCAGCCCTTAGGGTCTTGTTCTTTTCCTTGGCAAAGCACTTGAGTTCTACCCCTGGGCCCTGGAACGTTCTACGAATCCGTTATATTATGTTCCACGTGTGGAAACCTGGACTCCCCACAAATGGGGGCTCCTCTCTGTCTCTCATGACATCCTTAAACCAGGGATAGGCACATGGGAAAGATGGGGCCCTAACAATCCAAGCTGAGACAGAGACAACTGCTAAGAAGGGCTCTAAGCCTGGGGTGGGGGGTTGAGGGGGGGCAGAGATCACAGGAAGGGGTGTCAGGAGGGGGTCAGAGGCTTTTACCCAACTGCTGCATGAAGACACGGGCCACCTTCTCAGGCAGAATCCTGCGGGTATGGATGAAGCGAGACAGGTCACCCCCTGCGCAGAACTCCATGATGAGATAGATGTTGTCGCTGTCCCACTGTGGTTACAGAGGCAGACAGGCAGCTTGAAGAGAATGTCCCTTCTCCACTCCCTTTGGGGTGGCCCCACCCCAGGCCCGCACCTGGAAGTCTTTCAGCTGTACGATGTGGGGGTGTCGAATGCCCTTGAGGATCTCAATCTCTGTCAGGAGGTTCTCCACAGATGCCTTGTTCAGACTCTTCTTGGCTACGCACTTTATGGCTACCACCTCACGAGTGTCCTTCTGTGGGGACAAGAGATTTGAGGATTCTGCCTTGAGGGGGCCAGAGCCCATGCCTGGCCCCTCTTCCCCCATCACACCAGCCTCCAGGCTTCCCAGCTTCCCCTTCTCAGGCCAGGGAGGCACCCGGATTCTGGAATCCCCGCATCCCCACCCAGTCTGGTGTTCTCCGACGCTGCTCCATAATCTATCTCATTGTATTCTAGAGTGCCCCCACGAAGGCATGTCATTCAGTGCTCTAGAGCGGCGCACTCCGATTCCTAACTGGGTCCAGCCTTCTAGAACCCTGTCCCAGACTCCTCCCAGCCCATCAAGGATCCTCCCTGTTCTGCGCCTATTCTACAGTCAGTGACACCGAGCTCCACCGAGGCCTCCACCTGCCTCTCCAGACAAAACAGGGCTGTGTGGGCGTGCGTTTGTTTTCAAAGCCTAAGGGTGGCAGCCAGCTCCCAGCTCCTCCACCGAAGGGCGGCCGGCCGCGGGCCCGTCACTGCTCGCACGCCGCGTCTCGCCTCTCTCTCGCCGGACGCCCACCCGGGCTCGCTCGGGGTCTGGCGGGCACAGGGGCCGGGCCCTCACTGGTTCCCCAGCCCCGTCCCTGCCCGGCTCCGGGGTCCCCGGGGGGCGCCCCGCCCCGCACCCACCTTGGCGTAGGCCTTGTACACTGTGGCGTACGTGCCGCTGCCCAAGCGCTCGGTGAGGATGAAGCCGTCCAGCCGCGGGGGGCCCCAGCCGGGCCCCGCCA